GTTTTGTTATTATTAAAAATATATATGTAAATAATTTTTCAGAATATAAAATTAGAAAAATGTTGATTTAAAATTTATATTTATGTTTATTGTGCAGCAAAAGTTTATAATTGTATTTACCGGGTCTACCTGGAGTTCCCGGAATGCCAGGTGATCCTGGCGTTCCCGGTGTACCTGGTCTTCCTGGATGTCCAGGATAATGCGGGCCACTTGGATATTCTAATAAACATATAATATTAATATTATTATTTAATAAATGGTATTGAATAATTGCTAAAATTCTATGTTTTATATAAATATTTTTAAAATAAATATAATTTATTTCATTTCTTTAATAATAATCTGTATATTTATATTTGTCAGGATTATGTTTCTGTTACCAGGTATGCCATGTGTTCCTGATGTTTCCAATTGTCCAGGATGTGGCCTTGTTTCTAGATTACTCGGATGTTCTATTATTGAAATAAAATAAATAAATTTAACTATCAGTAAATATAAAAATAAAATATGTTTTATGATATGTTAAAAATTACAGTTATCTTTATTTTTAATTGTTAGAACTTATGCATTTGTAAAATAAGAATTCATATATTAATAATATATTCTATTTATTATTGAATATATGTATTGTATAAATTTTCATTTACTTACTTTCTGTAGTTGGCCCTATAGGATGTGGAATGTTTGTGTTTATGTAATGCGTACACATCGTAGGAAAATATAAATTTTGCCATGGCGTAACTACCCCGTGATGTTCATGATGGTCGTGATTATCATGGTTGTCCTGTTCTTCGTGATGTTCATGTTTGTGAAGAAATAATTCTACATCTTTTCCTGGTTGAACAACGCGATAACCCCATCCATCGCTGATGTAAAATGTTGTTTTCAATTGTCCGAAGGGATCGACGTAGCCATAGCATCCATAAGTGATGCTATCTGGACCTCGTACTTCGTGATGAAATTGGCCATGTGGGCTGACATCGTAACCATATTTGTATGCATCTGTAAAATGCAATAAATTATAGTTGAAAATTGTTACAATCATAGATTCTATTGCAAACAAAAAAATAATTCGTTAGTTTCCGTAATTTATAGATTTGTCTAATTTACCTGATTCAAAGTTTTGGCTTAAATATTGACTTTTCTGTTGATCGCTAATACTTAAAATCACATCGTCGTTTCGGTTCACACTTCCTGATTCCTGAGTGAATTGCGACACGGATGTAGCAATTACCTGTAATCACAACAATGTAATTATCTTTTATTTAGATATTTAACAAAGTAGTTTAACATATCAGATAGATATCTATAAATGCTTAGCTTCTTGCGATCAATTTTGATTTCTTATTTTTAATTATATATATATTTTTTTTTAAAGAAATGATACTAAAGACATGATACTAAAAACATTATTGATAAATATAGATATGATACTAAAACATTATTAATAAATTTTTAACAGTATTATATTTGCGAGTTGTATCTATAAGATAATCTATGATGATCTATTAATGAGAATAATGACAATCTATTATACATAAAGTAAAAATTCCAATTCACTTGCATTGTTGTACACTTCTGCAAAAATTATACTTTTTAATGTATAAATGTAAGGTCAATTTCAATTCTTTACTTTTACTAATTTACATAAACTATATTTATTGAGATATATTATCTTTATAAAGAATTATTACGCTAATAAGCAATGGTTAGCAATGGCAATAATTTTGCTCTGTGACATTTTCATGAAGCGCAATATAATTATCGAATAGCGTTTGAAAACGATTGCCCTTTAATATCAGTCGCTAGGATTAAGTATTTGATATGATCTGCAAGCGTAATCGTGAAATATCATTGTCGGTATTTCCAGTTTTTACAGTTCGAACGATTTATAATCGCTGAACGTTTATATTCTAAGACATATCACACATATAATGTAAGAAACTTGCTGCATTTCCACTATAATACATATATATGTATATATAATACATATAGACATATATAATGACTTTATTAAACTTACGAAATAAAATATGCACAAAAAATAAAAATAGCAAATTAAACTCAAATATATTGCTATATTTGATGAAGTAATATATTTTCACTTTCTCGGCTGTAGTAGACAAACTATGTCTCCGGTTGCCGTTTCTGATTCACATTAATTATGCATTTTACACAAGCGAAAGTTGAAAGTGATCAATACCTAAAGAGTAGAAATTTTTTTTCGATTGAATAATTTGCATAAAAAAGATGATGATTCAAAACATAGATGTAGAATCTTACGTATTCGCTTTTAACTGTTTACTTCCCAAAAATAATTTAGCGATATCAAGTAATAAAAAATATTAAAAATTAATTTTTATAATAAATTAATGTAAATAAATTAACATTTCTTTTATATTATGTACCAAATCGTTGTTTGATGTTGTGCTTACATGTGTTTACGAAATACGTATTATTTAAGATCTGATAATATTGCGGTTCAATTGCGAGAACATATAAGAGCAGATAAATGTTATGCAGTTAGCTGATGTTATTGTGTTGGTGAACCGGTCCGAGAGATGAAATTCGATGTGTTCGACACTGAATTCGAGCCGTTCTCCATCTCACCGCTCTATCACCTGTAAGTTTCACGGCGATGATAATAACAAGAATACCTGTACTCTCGTAACAGGGTCGCCGGATGCTATTGCGAAAGATAGTGATGCTCTCTCGGAAGATTACACTCACGTATCCCTAAATGGCGACACGATGAACAAAAAGACCTCTTTCATGCTTATACGGTTCGAAGAAATGTCAAGGTGGGGATGTGATGCCGGAGTTTTTTGCTATGACTTCGAGTACATTCGATGACTATTTAATCGCAAATCAAAGATTAGCGTAATTCATTTTCATTCAACTTTTAATCCGTAAAAACTAAATATTAAATTCTTAAATCGGATAAAATTAGCTATAAGAAATATATGTCATATTCATCTGTCGAATCTTTTATTTAATCCTAAAATATGTATTTAACAATGTAATTTTATTGTAATTTCAAAATAATTTTTTCTGGAATGTAAAAAAATATTTGGTCATAACAAATAGCTGAGATACAATTCATTTGTATTCTCTATTTTTCTGAAGTTAGCACATTCTTTTAAACCTGATCTTAAGTATAATTCATTTTATTTGATTTCGCAATTGATTCACGTTCGAGAAAGATTTCGTATAAAAAACGAGGGAACATTCATCTACTGTCAAAAGTGGCACGTATCCTGGTTAAATTAGGGTTTGGCCAGAATCCGCGGTTTGTCTGTGTCGCGATTGATGATCTCAACCGTCCTGTTGTTCCACCCACGAGAAGGGAAAGTCGCGATTCCAAGAAGGCTATGCGAGCGGGACTCTTCTTCGTCGTCTTCTCTTCCAGCCCCGGATTGACAGACCATATAATGAAAGGTTAATATATGCTAACGCCCGACCTAAGCCTTCCTAACGCGCACTTGCCGCGTCAAATGTTGCCGCGAGAATTAATCCCTACGGTATTTATGTCGCGATATTTTAATGGACAATAGCGAGATCATTTCAATCAAATCGTTCATAACGTACGGAGGCACAAACAGTCCTAAACTTTAGGATACTCGATATCGCAAAATATTATTGCAATCTCTCTACGCTTTATTTTAATGAAGAAAATTAATCTTCTAAACGAGTCTATCAACAATTCATAATTTCCACTATCTTTTATATCTCTATTGAACATATTAATTCATACAATAAAACATTAGCTTTACTGATATAGCATTCTTCATTAATCATTTAAAATTCTGGTAAAACGAATATGCCGATTAAACTCATCTTGTTTATATAATATAATATATTTGGTTATTTGGTGGCATAAATTTGGTTTTCAAAAATATGGACCTTCGGCGTTTAATTTGCATATATACAAAAAATCTACTTAAAGCAAAAATTGAAATCGTTATACATCCGATGAATTTGAATTTTGATGTTATAAAATAGCGAAAATTGAAACCAGCTTCTTACTTGTAATCGTAATTTTGGAAATTGAACTCAACACAATTATACCAATTTTAATTCTTATATTAATTTAAGTTGATCTTATGGAATCTCGGATACGATGCACGATAAATTATGGTAATTTAAACGATATCCTGAATCAAATTACTGTGGGCAGACAATATGAATAATACGAGAAGAATGTCTCAAACCCAGTGAATCACATAATCTTTTATTCACACGGTCAGTTTTAAATTATCCAATAAATTTATAGCTAAAAAGTGACTTTAGGTAAATCTGGTAAATTGTATAAAATTGTTAACAATTTTTGATTAATAAATTAAAAATGGTTGATTATCAGAAAATCATAGAGAAAGAGAGAGAGAGAAAGAATCAGAATTTCGTTTAGAGATGCCGGAATGCGTTGGAAGAAAAGAAATGGTCGAGATATTGTTTAATCTCTGAAGATTAATTTTAATTCGATCGTTACTTTACTTTTATCTGCAACATTTGTATATTTAAAACTACATCTTGTTTTTGTAAATCTAAGTTGACATTATCAAGGATCAATCAATGTAAACAAGATGCACATTCAAGACATTGGATAAAGGTAAACGGGACGACATTTGACGCAGCCGGATCTCTTTTAATTGCTCGTAGCGATCTGCCAGTCAAATGGCCAAAGCTGTATCACCTTATGAATCGCATACAGGGGCCGGATCAATGCATCATCTCCAGTGAAAGTCACCTGTAAGCGATTGCGTAAGGGACCAGTAATTTTGCTCGGGGCGAAGTCTCCGATACACAATTGTTTGCCTTCTGTGTAGCTGACCGCATTGTGGGTGTAATTCCGAAACCGTCTTAATCACGCAAGGGAGAAATAGCAGAATTGTTTAACGATATACGTCATTTTGTATCAATTATAAAAAAAAGCTATCACAAGTGATGAGCAAATTTGTTGAAGCAGTATGCACTTCAAATGACTAAATATGTGTACTAAATGCATACAATGCGTGGAAAGGTTCATCAGTTTTCTTTAGAATTAAATTTAATTAATCAATAATTTTCCAATATTTGAACAAAAAGGTCAAGTAAAGAAGAAACTTAGAAATGTCGAGATTTTATTGTTGAAATGTAAATAACTGCCTCGAAAGGTTCTTTGCTTTTTTAACACTATCGTTTTTTACCGCAAAACCGCAACCTATATTGTATGTATGTAAACTTTTTATGCCGATAATTGCAAAAGTAGCAAATTAAATTGACAGTAAATCTTACGTTCATTTAACAAGCAGCATAGTTCAACTTCAAACTGTAGAAAAATAATAATTTAAATATACAATTATTATAAATTTAAGTTTAAGTTAGGAATCATCGAAAATATATATAATAAATTAAAAATTAAAATCTTACGATTTTGATTTTGAATCTAACGATCTAACGAAATCTAACGATTTGATTTGAACTTAAAAAATTTTGTTCTTGTTTTATTCTTAAAAAATAGATTTATTTTGTTAAAAAAACGAAAATTTTTTTATTATTTTGAACTTGATTAAAAATGCAAATTTAATCAAGCTGTAAACGTATAAAAAGGTTCAGTGACACGTGCAAATCTTATATTTACATTTATCTTAGATTTACACATCTTTTCTTTTAGGCTCTTCCAAATAATGCAATGGCATGTCAAGGATAACACTTCACTTTATATGTGAGTGACACACCGTGTGACGACAAATGTCAGTACATGACTCATATTGTTCGACATCTCTTCGGACATTTGATCATATAAAATACCAAACAACTCGGTTTGGCAATATACTTTTCCATAAATGTCTCAGCATCTTATTAAAGCATATATGATAATACAATTGTATAATGCAATTGTACAATTACAGGATATCGAATCGTTAACTCTTTAATGAAGTCAGAGTTTGGGACAATCAAAATTATGCATTTCATTATTAAACTATTGTATGATATTGTTGCAATGCCGCGACAATGAGAGAGTTATGAATGAAATGTAGTGCAATGGCATTCTGTCCGATTGCCAAGATCAATGAAAGTCTCGTGACTAATGAGTCACGAGCGCGGTTATTATCGAATAATCAGCATCACTTTCTATTACATGCTATTAACTTGTGTACACATCATTATTATTATGTAATAATTAGTGGTAGTAGTAATAACAATAGTGATAGCAGTAATAATGATCATTGCCGCAAGGCACTTGCATGATGCAAATTTATATGTTTAATTTATGATTGGTATAGATACATAATATCGTTCCTTCATGTAGTTGTAAATAAATCAAAAGATTATTTAATAAAAAATCTGGCAAAAAATTATTTATACGTTGGGAAATATTATTAATGTATAAAATAATTTAATATAAATTTTCATATTAGATACTAAACATTTCAAATTATTAAGTATAATTGAATTAAACGTATTATAAATTTTTAATGTACGTAATATTAAAAATAACGTATTAAAAATCAAAAGAAAATAAGAAAAAAAATTATACGTAACTTAAAAGTTCATCAATATTGAATATTTATAAAACATTTATAAAAATTTTAATAAATTGTTTTTATATAAAAACGCAATATTGCATTATATGCATATAATAATAAATATATGTTTCTTAAGAGATAAATAATTATCATGAAGTACACTTTCATCATTAAATGCAAATTTTCATTATAAATCATATTTTACATTTTATACGCGTGTGCATTCGCGAGTTATCTCCGCGGATGCAACAATATTATTCATCACCACTATTATTATTTATTGCATATAATTATATATACTAAATCATTGTTTGAAACATGTCGTATTAATTTTTTTAATCTTAAAAATATGAATAAAAAGAAAAAAGATTTATATATATAAAACTTTATAAAATGTTAATCCAGTAATTAATTTCAATGTTCTTAAATTTGGATTATTTTTATATCTTTAAAAAATGGTATCCTTTCGTAAATTTAATCGCTGCTTGAAAAATGTAAAAAAACTAAGAAAGACTTACCAGGGTGAAGAGAACCGCGGTAGCACGCCGCATCTTGATAAGAATTCTTTCTCAACAGGACATCGTCCGCAGTCGGCCAGCCTCCAGGATGACGACGAGGATGATTCCCGGAGATATCGTACGCTGCGCGCTGTTCGAACTAAAAGACTGAACACGTCGCCAGTAGAAAAAGGCTTTTATACAGGGTGGGGGTCAGCGACCCCCCAACAGATCCCATCCTCACCAAGCATCTTCTCTTTTCCCCATTCTTCTCGTTTCAATCTTGAGGACCACTCTTATGCTTTTTTCCGTTTCCCTTTCCGTTCCCTCTTCTTCTTTCTCCTGAAACATGATTTTTTTGTTCTAAGTGGTGGTGGCAGAATTTGGCTTATCATCTAATTGTTGATTCTGTCGTTATATTTTTATTTTCAGAGACATTTGTAAGCATTTTAAATTGATTGTCTTAGAAAGAATATTACTTAAAAATTCTTAGCTTCTTTTGGAAAATATAAAAAACATTTTGTTACATATATAAAGTACAACATTAGAAAGACATCCTGTTATTTTTCTTATTTTGCGCGCAATTGTTTCTTTTGCCGCTATTTCTGTATTGAATTATCTCAGATTATGTTGTTAATTAAATTGTAGGATAATTTTCTTTATTCTATCTCTGCCCAATAAAATAATGTAAAAGAGTATTAATATTCGATGTTGCTTGCTTGATCTTATTTCTACACACTTCAATGACTCGATAGGATAAATATTGGAGGACATCGATCAAAAATGTATTGCTTGGAATATAGTTCACGTACATTCTGACGTCAGCGCAAATATCTTTCTTTAATTTATGGCTCCCACGCTCCGTTTTAGAGAAGCAGATAAATTAATCTTGATTAATTCAAATAATTTTTCCATATACGGTGAATAGTGGTACACACAGTAATTGTCAAGGCGATTAGTAATAGTTATTTCTTAGAAAAATCAGTGATGTGACGTTTAACTAAATTCAAAGAATTCTTTTAATGTTCTTTATATATAATTAATTATTTAACAACGCATAGGTTTGATAAAATTCGAATATATTATTTTCTTTAATTTTTAATTTTTTTTATATCTTGTATGGTAGTTTGTTATCAGGATTATGTGCTCAGGATTATGTTTCGCGTTTCGAGAGTGTAATAAATGTATATTCTTTTGCAACATTCGTTCTTTTATGCAGTATGTATTTGTCAAATGGAAGTAATGCCTGATACTGCACGCGAGGATGCCTTCTGAGAAATGCAAAAAATCTTTTATCGGATTTAAACATTCTTTCTCTGAGAGGGAGTCTCACGTTCCTTATTTTACCTTTAAATAGCTGATCCGGTTTGTAGTGAATACTGAAGCGAATAGGAAGACCAATTGTACGAATACTTTGAAAGAAAGAAATGCGCAAACATTTATTCATAAAAAAATATGTAAAAAATTCAGATTTAAAAAAAATTTGTTTTTTATAATTAAAATTTTTGCATTTTGACTATTTATATTAAGTTTATATTAAAAGGTTGTAGAAAAAAATTGTTTGTTTACTTTGAATAAAAAGAAGGAAGAATATCTTAGTTCAACAATTAAATTTTAAGGAATGAGTTAGTTTTATATTAAACAATATTTTAAATTCATAATGTGACGCATATCTTTCCAGGATAATCTGTTAGATAACGGAATAACTTTGAATGTCCTGAGTAAATTTTTAAACTGCAGAATGGTACTTGTTAGTATGTTTCGTTTGCAGATTATATTATTCCACTCGTGCATGTACAAGGTGTCTCAAACTTGGCAAGTTATTTTTCATACTTTTCGAACTAGAATTAACTGTTCGTTAGGAAAAATGTCCAGAGAGGTCATTATTGATCGCAAATTTTTAATTTTTAATACTAAATATTTTTGTAATAAATTCTTAAATCATAAATTTGTTAATTGTTAAACTTGTTCGAGAAAATTAAAAGAAAGATATAATTATATTATCCTTTCACAGTTCTGAATTTGATTTCTCCCTTTTTCGATCACCATTTTTTAATTTCTTTTTTTCAATTATAAGTTTGAATTATAAGTTTGTCTTCAATTGTAAAATCAAGTTTTTTTTAATAAACTGATAAATAATAAAAAATAAATTTTATTAAATATGGAGCACCTTATACATGTGACAAATACAGTATGAGAAGGGCACGGCATTGAAACTTCCCACAAAAACTTTTCAGCCCCATTTATTGCTATTCCGCATAATCATTTCGCATGCTGCTGGCGTAAGGTAATTCTTCACGATGTCAGGGAATTGATATGAATATTTACATGTCGTATAAAGTCCGTCTCTTTCGAGCCCGCCGTATTACTTTTACAAATATGTAGGACTTACACAAAACTGCATTCACAGCATAAATTTATAAAAAATATATATAATTTAAATGAAATCAAACTAAAATTTTCTTATATTAATCTAGAATGTGTATAAAATTAAATTAGATTAGTATTAAATTAGACTATTTTGAGATACTTGAATTGTGAGAGTTGCTTGAAAGGGAGCTCACGTAAGTGAGGAAACGGTGAACGAGGAAAATTCGTGACATACTCCGATTTCAACCCGGAAATTCATCTAAGGTCAAACGATGTCATTTGAAGTTATGTCTCGAATTTTTTGGTCATCGGTCCATCGGGTCAGCATTCGAAAACAGGGTTTCACTACTTTTGCGTAGAAAAGATGAAATATTACGGGTAATGGCGAAACCATAAGTAACTGTGTTCTGCTTGAATTAACATTTAAGATGAATTGTAGACGCTGACTTTCAGATTAAAATGCATAACATAAAATAATAAGTGAAATACTGCAATACATTAGCTCCTATCGAAATGTAATACATTAACTTCCTGACGAATACTTTTGCCATTGATATTACGTGGAGAAATTGTTAAATAATTCAGTGATATAACATCATAATTCCAAAAGTTTCTCTTCCTTTTTTTATGACAAAATAATATTAAAATACTTGATTACATTTGGCAGCCGTATTTTTGAAAAATTTGTGTGATATTTAAATTTTTTTTAGTAAAAATTTCACTGGGCGCAATTATGTTTCACAACTTCTTAATTCTCAAGATATTGAATATCTTAATAATTATGTGTTCTAGATTCCATCAGAGCAAAATACGTTTAACATTAAATAAAGAAAAATTTTTACACTTACAACTTATTTTGCAAAAATATTTTTCTTTATAATTACTTATAATTAAAGAATAATTAATACTTTGACATTTTAATGTTGAAACTTGTCAATAAAAGGAATATATTATGCACATTTAAACTTTGAGTATAAAAAGAAGAAAAAATATCATGGAAAAATGTAGAAAATACAATTAAAAGAAACAAATCTTTTTAGGTATCTCCCAATTACGTAGGCACTTCTGACGCTTGTATTAATAAATCATAAGCAACCAGGTGCCGGAAATGTATCGAAATTTATCGGGATCTACAAGAAAGAATTTGGAAGTTGGCGCGGCGACAAATCGATGTGCTAATAACTGGGAGGAATTTGCCTCCGACGCTACATCGAAGATGAATTTTATAACTGGAGAAAGTGTTTGCCCTTGCATAAGATCCACTCATTTCAGTTACACTTCCCATGCGTGTAAAATAAAATGTAATATAAAATATATCCATTTTTGTTTTGTGAAGAAAAAGTAAGAAACAAAGTGTACAAAGTATATAAAACTAAAACATATTACGTTTTCATTTTTTATCGCCACATTCGAAATCAATTTAGCTTTTTAACATAAAATCTTTCTTCTTGTCGAGTATGCACGATATATTGATTACAGAACTTTTCATAAATTAAGAATTAAAACATCAAAAAATAATAAAATTGAAATTTTTACACAATTTTAAATCAAGCGATTAAACTCTGAATTTTGTTTTGTTAATAAATATAAAAAATATTTAATAATAATAATTAAAAAGTTGTAAAGAAATCATTATCAAAAAAATATGTCGGACTTTAAACTTTAGCTTGGTACAGTTAAATTTGTATAAGTTGGAATATGCACATAGCAACAATACATAAGATAGACCAGATATGGTTGCGTGTAGTCTTAATAATTTCATCACATTAATTACGATGTTATCTAAATTGTCTTGCTACTGTCACTTGTGAACTCCAGTTATAAAAGAACTTTTGAAGGTCTGCTTAACAAGAATAGCGTAAACAGGATGAGATGGCCATAAAGATATCAACCATTTAGTATATTTGCTAAATGAAAATAATTTGCTAAATAAAAATTATTGAATCAAAGTTTTAATATTCGGCCAAAAATATCGAGAGATGTCTAAAATTGGTGATATTTTTCGTACCTAATTTTTTGCGATTAGTACACGTAATCGCTACCGTGAATTTCCTTTTTCGCAAAAATTTATGTTCGTGATGTCATTTACTGCGCTAAAAATGTGTAGGATTATCTCGTGAGCTCAGTGCTGCAGTTAAATCATTGTCTTTGCGAGAAGGTTAAGGACCCAGGCCATTAGGGTAGGCAAACCGGTTTCATGATATTCTTTATAACATGGAATTGCTTCAGGAAACCCACAACTTTTTTCTTAATTTTTTTTAACCATTAATAATCTGCCAACTGAATTATTGTTAACATTATTTTTTGGATGGATATCTTTAACGTCATTAACGTTATCCTTTGGATTGATCTTTAGATATCCACCGTGTCATGTCCTATATCAAACTTAATTAATCGGTATTTTAAAAAAACGCGCTATTTATATTATTACAAAATTTCGGATAGCATATCCATAATAGAGACACATGATGTTTGCAGCAATGCTAAGAAAAAAATCGATTTTAAATTTATACGTTATTCATTATGCTATTCCAAAAATCTGCTATTAAATTATCCGATCATAATTAATATCGTTAATGTAAATTAAATATACGGTAGATAAATAAAAGTAATATTTTATTTTTATTTTTTAGAATTTTTTTTTAAATACTATATCCTGTAATTTATAAGTAAAGACGACAGATATACATCTGTGGAGATTTACGCATACAATAACAGGTTTTTACTTTCCAAAACGTAAAAATTTGTATTTAATTAAAAAGGTAAGATAAAATTGTAAGAATGTATTCAGTTAGACACATCGTTTTGCAACTAAAATGATTTGTAAGAACGTGTATGAGATGACGATCGTTCGATCGATTCATTACATGAATCAAGTACAGTTGCTCCGCATTTAAACAATGCCTTAAATGGTCATGTAGGTTATTGCTGTAATGGCTACATTCTGAGCTTAATGCGAGTCAAGAATCTCTCTTTTTTCTATGCATTTTTCTGCGCATCCTTTTAAGTAGTTTCTATGGCGAATAAAGACTGCTTCGCGGCCACTCTCGCATTTTTCGTAGGACGTTTATCGTTCGTTGCTCAATGCCACTATTTACATTCATTTTATAGTTGAAACCATCTCTCTACCTATGTGGCTACATTCCTTTCTACATACTATCAGTAACACAGCGATATGTACGCAATCATTGCAAGAACAAACAATTAACAGAACAAATAACAAATTACCTTCACGCTGCTCCATCAATGCCCCCCCGGACCTCCTTCTCCTTTCGGTAGTCCATCGATAGCTGCTCTTTTCTAGCACTCACTCGCAAAAATACGACAATCGCGCGATGTCTCAAACGACACTACCCGATATTAATTACTCTTTCGTCGCGAGCTTTGTACAGCATGACAAAGCAAAAACTCGAAAAAACACAAAATCGCACGCAGCTATAACCTATCAATGCTCGCGAGGTCGGAGCCGGCGGCAGAGGGAGATAAAATATATCTCAGTCGTTAATCACGAAAAGCTAAGTCGTACAATTACTAAATCAACAATTATTAGTGAAAAACAATTGAATAATATTTGTCGCAAGCGCAATATTATAGAAAATGTAATATTTACGGAGCTGTGTTCCCGCCACCGCCGTCCGACTTGAACGCTGCCGTGCGTATGGTAGGAAGTTAATAGCGCTGATAGAATAGGTTCGTATGGCGCGAAAATTTACAATTATTAAATCAACATTCATTTGTAAGAAATAATCTTAAAATATTTATCGCGATATGAGAAGTAATATAACATTCTGTTCGTGCAAATGAGTTAGAGAGGGTAACAGAGGGTAGCAGAGTATCGAGTAAACAAATATGCTTTGAAGTATTTCCAAGAATTTGAATAGCGGTAGCTCGTGACGTCAGAGCTGTTTACATTTTCGAGTCGTACGAGCCTATGGTATTCCGCGCTATTAACTTCTTACTATTCGCACGGTAGCGTTCAAGTCGGACGGTGGCGGCGAGAACACAGCTCCGTAAATATTACATTTTCTGTAATATTGCGCTTGCGCCAAGTATTATTCAATTATTTTTCAGAAATAATTGTTCATTTAGTAATTGTACGACTTAGCTTTCTGTGATTAACGACTGAGATATATTATATCTCCCTTTACCGCCGGCTCCAACGTCGCGAGCATTGAATAGGTTATAGCTACGTGCGATAATGTACAATTATCAAATCAGCAATTATTTATAAGAAATAATCTTAAAATATTTATCGCAATATGAGAAGTAATATAATATTCTGTTCGTGCAAATGTGTTAGAGAGGGTAGCAAAGGGTAGCAGAGTAACGAATAAACAAATATGCTTTGAAGTATTTCTAAGAATTTGGATAGCTTGTGACGTCAGAGCTGTTTATATTTTTGCGTATGAGCCTATTGTATTTCGCGCTATTAACTTCCTATCATACGCACGACAACCTTCAAGTCGGACGGTGGCGGCGGGAACACAGCTCCGTAAAAATTTCATTTTTTGTAATATTGCGCTTGCGACAAATATTATCCAATTGTTTTTCACAAATAATTGTTGATTTAGTAATTGTACGACTTAGCTTTCCATGATTAACGACTGAGATATATTATATTTCTCTCTGCCGCCGATTTCGACGTCGCGAGCGTTGAATAGGTTATAACTGCGTGCGATTTCGCGTTTTTTCGAGTTTTTGCTTTGTCATACTGTACAAAGCTCGCGTCGAAAGAGTAATTAATATCGGGTAGTGCCGTTTGAAACATCGCGCGATTGTCGTATTTTCGTGAGTGAGTGCTAGAAAGGAGCAGCCATCGATGGACCACCGAGAGGAGGAGGAGGCTCGGGGGGCATCAGGCATCGGTGGAGCAACGTAAAGGTAATTTATTATTTATTTGTTATATTGTTTGTTCTCACGATGGTTGCATAATATTTTGTGACCACTAATTTATGATTGAATATGATATTAAGAAATTTTTAATATGCGCAATAATTATTGTACTTATAGAAAATTATTTTGAATTTTATTATAATCTAGATTTATTTTTGTTTTTTGCAGATCAAAATAGTCATCAACTCCACTGCTGCGCATCATATTGGTAAGTCTAGATCATAAAATATCATTGTTTTAATATAAAAGTAATGGATATATGAAAATTTGATAATATACAAAATGTCATAAGGTTAATAATTTTATAATATAAAATATATAATAATCCCCAGTGGTATAAGTTACTCATAACACCGTAAACGGCGTGGAGCTAGCGCGTTAGCTTAATAAATCAGAGATATAGCGAGTCCGAGCCCGTCTAGAGACTTATAAAAGATGAAATAGAAGCTTTTGATATCTTTCTATCGGAAAAAAAATTTTCTTGAAAATCTCTTTGCTCTTGCAAATTCTCAGTATTATTGATGCTGGTTTGCAGATTTAATGATGGAAAATATGAACTATTTATCCCGAGATAAAAAGATAAAAGTAGAAGAAAATTCTACTTTTATTTTGTTATTTTATGTTAAATCCTTATTTAATCTGCTGTTAATATATTAATAAACGACTCTATCACTTGTATGTCGTCGTTTACTAACATATTATCAGCAGATTAGATAGGGATTTAACATGAACTTGTGTCGGTAAAATCAGTAATGATAATATGTTTGGAGGTTATGTCGTACAGTGTCATACTACGTGACAATTTGTTAGTTGCTGTGGTTGCTGTTTTCTAACAGTTTTTTTAAATTTATGCTGATAAGCTAAATACAATTGTAAAATTTCACTTTTGGGTCATACTTTAGTCAGCATAAACACTACATATGTGATTATATCAGTATTGAAAGATCTATATTGCAAATAAAAGTATGTCAAAGGTAAAGGCAATTTCACATAATCTTATTCAGTGGGAGCAGAGTGACAATTCCTTAGCCCCATTGACAGATTGTCAAAGGAATTGTCTAATGGATTTGGAAAGGAATATTAATCAAATATTAAATCTGCAAAACATAGTCGACAACACTGAGAAGAATTTGGAAGAACAGGATTCTCAAGAAAATTCTGTTCCAATACAAAGATATCAGGAGTTACTGCAGCACTATTTGTCTTTAGAAAGAAAATATATGTCCATGTATGACATGAAATATAACTTGTATCTTAATGAGCTAAAATCAAGAAGATTAGAATGTCAGGAAGTTTGTTCTCAAATAGAGGAAGCATTAGACGATTTCTCTGCATTATATAAACAGTACACTGAAGTCTCTGGTAAGACTACTTCTTTGTATGAGGCCAGTGAACAGCTTATTTCCGATCAGAAACAATTAAATGGAACAATTGACAGCATTGTGGAATATGTTAGATATTTCAAGGAGATTGATGTAATCACAGAGAAACTTGAAGCATCTACTTTGTCAGTCAACAGTGAAATGTTTTTCAATATATTGGATAAAATCGATACAAATATAGATTTTATGCAAAACAACTCGTCGTATAATGAAAGCGGAGTTTATCTGGTTAGGTACAAACATTGTCAGTCAAAGGCAATTACATTAATACAGAATTATATTTTCAACTTGTTCTCTAAAACCACAGAGAGCATTTTAAATTTGAAAGATGGAGAGGGCTCACCAGAGAATACAGATACAGCTCTCGCTTTGTTCTATGGTAGATTTCAGACTATTTTGTCCAAAACAAAGCCAGTTATTGAACAAATTGAAAGTAAATCTTATAAGAGACAAGAATATGACAGTTTGTTGCTTGAATGCCATCAATATTATTGGAGTCAACGAGGTCTAGTGCTAGGTACAAGCATCAAAAGTCTTTGAATTCTGTGAGAGAAAAATACAACGGTGATCATTGCAGTTTAGTGCGACATTCTTGTGCACTGCTTCTACACGCATCGATAGATGAGCATAAGCTGTTCTATGAATTCTTCTCGAAGCAATCAAATGGATTGACTGCATACCTGGAGAGCTTGTGTACTTCGCTATATGATGCATTGAGACCTTTCATAATACACATCAATCATCTGGAGACATTAGCAGAAATTTGCTGTATTCTGCGAATAGAGATCTGGATGAATATGTACAAAACAATTTTGAGCCATTAGAAGGTTTTGGAAACATATGTTTGCAGTTATTGCACGACGTTCAAGAGCGATTGGTATTTCGGGCGCATTTGTATCTGCAATCCGACGTATTAAACTACAATCCTTCGTCAGGGGATCTGGCATATCCGGAAAAACTGAAGATGATGGAGGACATAGCTGAGTCGATTAGAGAAGAGATTCGTCAAACTCGTGTAAAAAGGATTTCAGTATCATCTGCTGACAGCTCTGTTGTCGAACCGGTTTCTCGAAATCATATAGTCATCGATTCTATTTATCAGAAGACACACATAGGAAATTCTCCAGCAGATCTGCATGCTATGTGGTATCCTACTGTCCGTAGAACTTTGGTATGTTTATCAAGGCTATATCGTTGCGTAGACAGGTCTGTGTTTCAATCCCTAAGCCAGGAGGCTATTTCTCTTTGTGTCCAAAGCATTGAGAACGCTAGACAAGAGATTGAGAAGAGAGCCAGCACTCTGGATGCAGAATTATTTCAGATTAAACATTTGTTAATTCTTAGGGAACAAATAGCACCATTTCAAGTTGATTTCACCATCAAAGAATATAGTCTAGACTTTTCCAAGGTGAAGACTGCTGCGTTTGGCCTGTTAGAGAAAAGTTCCAGACTCTTTACCTTGTCTAACAACGCGTTATTGCAATTTCTTTTGGAAGGTGCACCTCAGATGAAAGAACAACTCATCGATTCCAGAAAACATGTGGACGCAAAATTGAAATTCACGTGTCAGCGATTAATACAACATGCAACTTATTTATTGATATATCCCGTTATCAAGTTGTTGGAAAAAGAAAAATTGTATGATGCAAACTCGAGTCAGGAAAACGCACTAGGAAATGCACATGAAATAGCAACTATAATAGCCGATGTGTTAAGGACAATTAAGTTTAAATGTCCCGAGATCCAACAGTCAATGCAGTTGTATTTGGCTAATAAGGAAACTGAGTTTATTCTATTTAAACCGGTAAAGAATAATATTTGCGCCGCGTTTACGCAGTTGCATCAAACGTTGAATAAGTATTATAATGCCGAAGATCTTTTATTGATCGCGTGTCCATTACCCGAACAAATTTCTGTAATGTTGAGCTCGACTACGTTAGTTCAGGGAAAATTGAATCGAGAATCAACTCTGAAAGGATCACAATCGATTATTAAACAAGAAACTTAAATTATAAGATTTCCGTGTTTATTAATTTTTGGAAATGGAATTGTTAAGCAGAATAGATAGGCAGAATAGGCAGAATAGGCAGAATAGATTGCAATAAAAAATGTGCAAAAATAAATAATTTCTACGAGATTTCTAGATAGAAGAAATCGTGTATACTGTTCATAATAAAATAAAATAAATAATTGGATAAAATTTTTAAATTAACAACATAATTAACAAGATGAACAAGAAAAAATAAGATGGAATTCTCAGATGTATAGCATTTTTGTTTCAAAATAAACTAGGGCCTAGTAAAATATTTACAGAAAAGCGCAGCAATAAAAAGTTGGACATTTAACATATATTACAATTTTTTGCAAAAGAAAAAGAATGATTTACTTATACTGTTACAATTACTTTAAGTTAATTTTATTGTAGTTAATATAAACGTTTTATTTAATTTTTACAAATATATTCTACAATATAATATAAAGTTGGTAGCAAATTTTTGTGAAAAAACATTTTTGTAGATAGTTTTAAAGTTTTAAGATTTATTACAATTTCTAAAGTTGTAATATTAAATATTTATAGAATAAAAATTTTGTAATGGTAAATACAAAATGTAGAAAATATTGTAAATACAGTTAGAATTAGAAATTATATTAGCAGCTACAAAATTACCGATGTAACAATATGTAGGAAAAATGTACAATTTATAATATCTTATATTATATATATATAAATGCTTTTTTATTCTATCTAAACATATTACTTCTTGCATATTGTTAATAATTAGGTAATAGTCCCACCGCATTTCAGGAGACGATGTATTTACTGAAACACACACGTGGTACCAAATTAAAGATAATAGTATTTTAATATTGCATAATAAAATAAGCAAAACAAAAGATATTGAGAAAAATTAATTTCCATAAATTAGTAGAATAGTAAGTTGAATACGAAAGAAATTTATGTCTACCAAACTGATTGAATTTCGATAAATTAGTTTTTTGATTAAAATTGACACGCTTATAACAAAATTTAACAATTTTCTAGATATTTTTTATAAAGAGAAAATATACTTTATAAATTTTTGAATGCTTACCTGTCTGTTCATGTTCATGTTCTTATGTTCATGTTCATGTTCTCTATGTGTATTTGAATTATGGCACGTTCGAGGTATAAGACAAAAAAAAGTGAGAACAGAGATTATCATTGCCATTATTAATGCAGCCCACAATATCCAAAATAATAATAAGCGGCATTTCATCCAAGATGGACTAGAAACGTGATATGTCAGATCGTCTCTCGGAACCATAAACCTCTCTGAAATAAACAACATAAATGATTAATATATTTTTATGATTTAATACGCTGAAGTACATTCTGTTTTATATTTTACATCTATATTATCAAATATAAAAATTTAGAATCGTACAAAAAGAAAGTGGAATTTAGTTAGATAATACAACACAGCTTTACAAACCATTGCACTTTTTCTTTTCCGCTTTATGAAGAACAACTAGAGGAATGGCCTCGTAAACAGGATTTTGTCGAGCAAAAGCAATTTTTTCTTGAAGTTTCATATTGCTATATTGTCTTGCCCGATACACACGATAACAGTAACACACGTAGAAACGTTTAGTTGACTATTTGCATTTTATTTCTTTCTCAATATTTAAAAGCCTGTCGATATATACAAAAAGATGATTGTTTTTAGTAGATTAAGGCAAAATTGTGTGAGAGAGAATTATTTCCACAATAACATATGCGTGTGCGTAAATATGTGTGTTTGTGACGTATAATAATATGGAAAGATAAGCACATAAAGCATATAAGTAAATACTGATTAACTATATATTACGTGTACAATCATTGTCGACGATTATTTGGCTACCTATTCGTGTTGAAGGAACACATTGATCACACGTAATTGGATCGACCAACTTGAAACGTAATTAAGTTCAATTTCTTGCAATAATATTCTCGTTGAAATGTCATAATTAAAAGTCAGTTATCAACAACAGATTACGCGAAATAGCGGAAAGCAGCGTACAGATTAATGTTCAAAAATATATTATCTTCCACACACATATTCATTCATTTTAATAATTATGAATTATCACTGTCACCACACTTCAACCGAAATGTTCTATTTAGTTCTTTTATTGATTTATTTTTTTAAATTTAATTAGTAAACAAGCACGATACATGAAGATGTTATTCCACCAACATTTTCGCACAGAATAAATCTGCAGATATATTTATTGCATAGAGATATTATTATACTTTCATCGCTATGAACACCTGGTGATCCCGAATGACCTCCGTGGACATCTGGTAACGCTTTTTTTAGCTCGATGAGTCACTGTTTAAAGTAGTCTTTGCTTTGCTATTATTGACATCAGTTTTGATCCTCTTAATTCTTTTTAGCTCATATTATTTTTCACACAAACACACACGCTTACGCATACACAAAGATCTAAAGATTTTTAACATATTTATGACAAATAACTTTAAAAAAAAAATTAATTTCTGAATTAATTACAAAATTATTTCGCATCGAGTAACAATGTCTTTCTCTCGGAAGTTTCCTTAAAGATAAAGCAATTCACCGACTTCTACTGATTACATCTATCAAATATGCCTAGCTATCAAGAACTCTAGCTATCATACTAAGTTGATTAGGAACCTCGTATCTCTCTCTATCGTTCTGTTTATTTACAAATTATACATTCTTATCTCCTACACATTATTTCTGAAATTTGTATGATACTATTACAGTTATAATGGCACTTGTGACTAATAGAAAGATAGATGTAAAACTTGATGCTGCATTAGGCTCCTTTGTCGGTTCTAACTCTTCTTTATCCGTGCTTGTATTTTCCGTGCTTGTATTTTCCGTGGAAGAAGTTGTAGTATTAGCGGTAGGATCGTCAGTACTTTTGTTTTCTTCCGTTGCTGAAATATTATTTATAATAAGCAATAATATATGCTTATATATTCTTTGATATGATTAATTTATATTCATAAATATATATATATATAATATATTCTTAATTTTAGTTAATTATAAAATATATATATATATTATAGTACTACCTGTTACTACAACTGCAGCATTTAACGATAATATAATATTATCTCGTGGAACAGTATCCCTAAAACGTCATTTTATAGAATAATTTACTAGTAATCAATCTAAAATTTATTATTTTATTTTTACTGTGTGATGAAACTTACATAATATCAATTGCATTGCTAGAAGCTGCATAAATTTTCAATATATCTTCCAAATTCGGATATAACGAAGTCAAATTAACTATTTCTTGTTGTAGACCCAGATTAACTAGGATAATGTATACTGGATTATTTTCCAAAAACCTAGTTAATTAAAAATTAATTAATTACGAAAATTGTACAAGTACAATTTCCTTGCAATTTTGTAAATTTAAGAATAATATAAAGTTTCAAAAAGATATTAAATAGATCAAAACTTTTATCTTGTAAAAAGATATAGTACTTTTTAAATGACTTTGAATTGATATAAGAAACATTATTATTTCTAGAGTGTTTTTAAATAATATTATTTTAAAATAATTTGTATATTATTTACAAATTTGTATTGTTTTTCTATCATCATAAATTTTTTCAAATTACTAACCTTTTTAGTACCAATACACGATCATTATTTAAACTTGCAAATTTATAATCTCCATCTGTAAAAATTGGATTCTTCCTCAAGCTAGCCAGCTTTCTGTATGTTTTCAAGTTGCTTTTTTCATTATTTTCTTGTACTTCCACATTTCTGTGAACATAAGCAGGATGAACAGGCAGATATGTAATGTTATTTGTAGAAAAACCAGCTGAAGTTTGGGAATTCCATTGCATAGGAGTTCTCGCTGGATCTCTCGAAAAAAATTCGTATTCTTCGATGCCTCTGGCACATCCTATAGGATCGATGGTTTTATTCCACAATATCTTTGCATCTAACATAGCTATTTCGTCACCATAATATGTGTACGCTTGTCCAGGCAAGAGAAGGCTAAGCATGTGAAGACCATCGACTCGGTTGAGTCCGATTCTCGAAGCTGCTCTCGAATTATCATGATTTGAAAGCTATAATTAAAGATGAATAACAATGCAATTTAATTTAATTATTGTATAAAATTTAATTTTAAAAATTTTCTCCAACTCTGGCAAAATTATTTATGCTTGATTATATCTTATTGTTTAAAATTTCTTACCACCCAATTGGTGCTGGTATTTTCTGGCAGACGTTCGATCCATTCCTCCAAGATTTGCTTGATATAGCTAGCGTTACTGTTGTTATGAATTTGTGTAATGAATTTAAAATTGAAGGGTGGGATTCCTTTGTGAGTACTATTACCATAATAGGCCATTAAATTAGCATCAGAGTCGTATGATTCCGCGATTAATAATCTAATAATGCGATTAAATCAGATTAATTTTAATATTACAAGCAGTACAATTTCAAAAACAGTTTTAAAAATCATACTTTGATGTAGTGTTATTTCTTGTCGATACCCAGTCATCGACATACTGACGAAATGTGTAAAGGAGAGCAGTGCTTTCGGGAAGACCAGAGGTATAAGTACCTTTTTCTAATTCATTTCTCAGTGCTTCGTCTTCGAAAAAATATGGCACCGCGTTAATTTGAAAACCATCAACATTTTTGTCCAGCCAAAAATGAAATATATTCTGCATATAAAAATTGAACATTTAGAATTGACATTGAGATGACAAAAAATAAGAACTAATTATATCTTGCAAAAAATAATTATATCTTGTATCTTGTATATTTATGATTAAAAATTGGGAATGTATGTTAATTTACGCACCATTAATTCTTTGATAACTTTCTCGTTTCTCAAATTAAGATCCGGCTGAGAGCTGTGAAATTTATGATAGTACCATTGTTCTTTGCCTGCGTGCCATGTCCATGCAGATCCTGGTACGTCAATATATGTGCTCATCTATATGAAAGTTATAAAAAAAATATTATAAGCAAGAAAAAAAGATAGTTATAGTACGCTACATTAAGAAAGCAATAGAAATATACCCAGTTGTTCGGTGGAATTTTCTCATTATCACTGTCGATACTGCCATTGGCCCAGATATAATAGTCAATGTAAGGCTCAATATTTCGTATCGACAACTGAAACCATTCATGCCGATCGCTGGAATGATTTGGAATGATGTCCAGAATGATTTTTAATTCTAAAACAAATTGATAGTAAATTTACTAAACAGTCCTAATTTTTATATCTATATATAGAAAAACAATTATATGGCTAAAAATTTATTTGACTTTATACTGAACTATTATACCTTTATTATGTGCTTCTTTTACTAAATTATCGAAATCGTCAAAGTTCCCGAAGATAAAATTTATGTCCGTATAATTGTCGACGTCATATCCCGAATCGATGAATGGGGAAGAATAAATAGGATTTATCCAAATAGTCTCGATTCCGAGACTCTTGATGTAGTCGAGTCGACTAATAATGCCTAAATATATATACAAATTATGTTGCATAAGTTACACTTTTAAAGAATTGTTCTCTATATATCATTATTCTCTATATATCATATACTGATATGTATATAAATATTTTTAGCGAAAAAATAGAATATTTTCTTAGATTTATTCATTTTAATCGAAGAAAGCTTAAGTTGATTTTAGTTTGCCGTGCAACGCTAACTGATTCGTGACTCACCCTTCAAATCACCCTCGCCATCATCATCACTGTCTTGAAACCCTCTAGGCCAGATTTGATAAACCAGTGTAGTTTTCCACCATTCTTTATCTGCAGGCTGTTTATTATCTACCCCACTCATCGAAAACCCCGCACTTATCAAAATGATACAATACGTACGCATTAACATTGTGTATAAATTTCAATTTGTCTGCAGGTTTGACGAAAAGCAAATAGCGATTAACGATGCTTATTGCGATGCTTTCGCGATGCTTTCGCGATCCTTATCGTGCGAACAAAAATACAACCAACCTAGATGAAATTAATAAACGTACATAATATTCATAAATGTGATAATATCGACATTACAATTGTTCTTTCAAAATATTCTGAAGAGCATTTCACAATTAAAAATATGCTTTAGTTTTATTTTAGAAACATTCGTTAGTTTTATCTGAAAATCTTGCTTTTCTCTACAATATCTACAATTAAAGTTTATTTTGAGAATATTTGATTTTATTTGGGATCGAATAGAACTCAGAAATTTGTTTAAAGATGCAATTCATAAAAATATATAAGTATAGGCATTCGATGTTAATGTCGATAGAGACAAAAAATCTTTGTCATTATTTTTAAGACGTTTTATGTTCAAATTTATTAATATTGCATAAAAAATGTCTATCTTTTACTTTCGTAATTATGTGGATTTTTATAATATTAATATCAAATTGCGAGATTGCGTGATCAAATAATATAAAGGGAAAACGGAAAGTGAACAAAAATTATTTGTCGTATAATATTGAAATATTTAAAATTATTTATAACATTTCCTAACATCTTGATCACTTTTCTATCAACTACGTTTTCAAAGAATTTTTATGAATTAATATTTTATTGTTTAATTTTATTTTATTACATTTATAGTTTAATGATAATAAAAATCAATTTTTCTATGGTGATTTACTTTTTTTATTATATTTTCTCTATATTTTTAATTTTTGTTAAAAATATAACAAATATGCTTGCCTGAGTTATAGAAAAGTGATTAATATATTACAAAATTTCACTCAATTAATATGATATCATAATCACATTTCTTCTTAATAAAACTCACCTGAAATAGCGATTCTTATTTGATCTGGAGCACTTGATCTTCTTTAGTGATTGCTTTCAACGCTTCTATTCACACAATTAGTCGTATTCAATTTAAATGTTTTTCGGCGCTCCCGTTCTTGACATCCATTCTTGACATCATCTCTTCGTGCACGGTAAAAAACGATAATAAAAATTTGACGGTGACAAATAGCTATGTTATCAATGCTGTTGCCCCGCCTGTCGCTGTCGCTGTCGTAATTTAAGGTAGGGATACTTAAAATTTGTCAGGAACCAATACTAGTTTATATTCTCGAAAAAAGGTCTTCGATATTGTACAATATCGAGCATACGTATTCTGATAGCAGCGACGTACAAAATAATATGATGCAATATGGTGTAATGTAACAACCACAATAATAACATAATGGAATACAACGTATGAAATATGTACGTCATGTAAAATGCATATAATTTATATTACATTACTTTAATATATTTATACATCGATCATTTCTTTATTGACAATTATTTCCGATTAAAGTAGTTGTTTGCCATCCATTTATATTGCATCATGTTATTACATTTCTACTACTTTTTTTATCACGCCATAAGAAATTGAAAAGGAAACAGTGGATACAATTCAATCATCGCGAAATGTCGAGGATTAATTCGCTTTTTATCTCTTTTCGTTCGAAAACAGCGCATCTTTTTTCGCTTGTTGACATCCAAGGGTAGTTACAAACGATATCCCGTTTCCCGTTGTAGTTATTGCTAGGTGCGATGTGGTATTATAGATAACGACTGGACAACGAACGCGATCATATGGTTATATTTTGTTCCATCACAATACATTAATTTCTTTGTCGTAGATTTCACGAGATACGTTTTTATAAGATTCGTATCGAAATTGCTGATGTTTCGCTAACTCTATTAACTGTGTTTTGATTTTTAATAATATTTAGACCTATATTTTAATATGATGTAGGGATTATATTAACATATATATTTTTTTAATTTGTCTTAATTATTATTAGCAATTAATGTGCATTAGTCTGTCATACAAAGAAGAATATAAAATTTATTTATAGAAGCAATAGAAGTTTGCATTCTAATAGCACTTGAAATAAGTGAGTATGCACTTAAAGTTTGTGAAATTCTTTTTATCTTTATCTTTTCCTTGAAATTAAAGTTAATCGCAAAATCGGAAATAATATAATCTGATAATCAAGATACAGCTCTATTTTATATTACTATGATATATAATTATAGATTTTTATAGCAGCGAATAGATCAAAGCTACGACGCGCGTTATCATCGAATCATTGAATCAGCGTGTATCAAACAAAATGGGACATAAAAAGGTTTTTAATGATAATACGATAATCATCGTATTTACATGATAATCATATCAGCTGTTTATCGAAACATTGATTCAAAAAGCCGTATTGATTAATTATATGATAAACAATGATGCGATTCATAATAATGTGACCAGAATTACAATACACACATATAGGTCATGTATAAATATATAAACCACTATTCCCGCGAAATGTTTATTTGCATATTGTTTAGTAATAATTTATTGTTCAGTTAATTACATTATTTAGCTTTTAAATATATAAAAAACACATTACAATTAATTTCTATTTAATTTTCTTCTGCAAAGATTAATAAGCTATTCAGAGAAAAAATCAATAAATCTTATTTGGAATATATTTCCAATGCTGCACTCAGTTATGTATGTTTTTTTGTTCAACATTTTGATTGATGCTTGAAAACTTGTTTATTCATCAGAACGAGTATTCTATGTGTTTGAATAGCATTAAACTTACTCCTTGCTGAATAATGCAGTCAGCACTTCTGCGTTGCTCACTTTACCTCATTATCACATCACAGAATTTTCTATGTACACCTGGGGTTATCTATAAATAGCAGCTCTCGATTAGCGGGCTCAACACGATCGTAAAGTTGAAAGTAAAATATTAGGATATTTTAAAATTCTTTCACAAAGAAATATCTTTAATTGAGGAAAATATAAATGTACCTAATCGTTGCCGCATCAGCGACGATTAGGTACAAATAAAAAAATGTATGTATCTATATATGAAATGAAAAATACATATACAAATATACATAATAAACTCGCAATAATTTTGGAACAGATGTCTTTGATGGCGAGGTGGAGAAAGAAACACCGATTATAATTCTCATAACGTTCTATTTTGTAGGTATTAGGCAATAACATAACAATACATATATACACGTGTATGTACGTCTACTGGCGAGCAGTATATATGTACGGTATAAAACTCATGTACGTTTCCTTTTCGCATGCCGCGCAATGCAGCCACTAATTAATCCCAAACTGCTCGTCCCACACCACGTGATCCGCCAACGTCGTTATGCTTTTTAGGCAATTATTTGCTTCTGGAGTTTAACATGTTTCGTAGTCTTATTAAATCAAAACTGAGTTGCGGTTTGTGCGAAAAACACTGTTTGGTGATCGGATTGTATTAGATTAGGTAATATGTGGTTGATCTGAACTGACTAACTTTTCTTCGTAAATGTGGCTCCTTTTTGATTTTGGCTTTTTCGATTTATGAGGAGAATTTCCTCTGCTCGTGGAAGTGACGGCTGTTTAAACATCCTGGATTTGCATATTTTTCGAAACGTAAATATTGACGGTACTCGTGGCCTAGGACTACAGTTTCTTGTACCTTCAATCATTTAACAGTTTACTATCTTAAACGTATAACTTCGGAAGCGCGGTTCTGCAGTGAAGCGATGCTGCGCAATACCGCATGTACTTTCGCGTTATCTGTAGAACCACTCCTTCGTAATCTTAATCGCAGAATCGTTTTCTAAGGAACACACCAACTATCTCTTGTATGTACTCTTATCCCTTGGTAGGTGAAGATCGTCGATGAGGCGGACCTCGCAACTTTCGCTCTCCTTTCCGAGAAAGCGGTAGTTATAAATATCTGTGTTTGCTAATAATATCGTCTAGGTTGTTAAAGACATGTAAAGACAGTAAAGATAGGACGATAGATTGAACGATAGCACAGAGTGTGAAGTATTCTTCACACGATAGTATGGTATATAGTATAATCATAGGTATACATACATATGTCTTACACGAATATGTGTAGTGTGTGTCTATGTATATATATCTTTCAAAGAAAAAAGGAGAGAAATTGGAGAGACATAGAGAGAGAGAGAGAGAGAGAGAGAAAGGGGAAGGGGATAAAAGTCCGGAGAATCTACAGATGTTAGTTTTAGTAAAATGCAAAAATGGTTATAGAATTGTTTCGTATTTACAAGATGGTGCGGCCAGCCCCGATGACATATGAGTCGAAAGCAGAAGATGAATTTGTACAATGTCTATTTCTTGTAAATTGTACCCGTAATGAAGTCAGTACGAAATTGCATTACACGCACGTAAAGAAATTCTTTATCTTTTTTTCGTACATATCTCTTTTGAGTCTACTTTCCGTGTCTACTTCCATAAATTTGTGAACGAAATCTTTATTTTTAAAAACGTTGTTTAATTGGATACATAAACACGAAAAAAGTATTCATTTTCGATTTAATCTTGAAATTTAGAAACAAAATTTTTGCACCCGCTTTTGGAGCAAGAATAGCGTTCAATAATTCACTCGCGACTACAATTACGCATCAATTATTTCTTGGTCCAAATAGAATTTTTTTTTATCGTTGATTGGTCATTTTCTGCACAGCTAATGAATTGGACAAAAAACTAGTTTGTATCTGAGAAATTCTATTAGAATATAACAGAAATTGATAGTTTGCATTGATCAACTTTGATCAGTCGTGTGAAATATATAACTTTGATTGAAACTATTGATATTCTTTAATTTGTTACACTTTTTACTTTTTGTCGAATATAATATCGAAAAGAATCGGTATTTAATTATTTAAAAAATCTATTCGAATCGCCTTTATTGCAATTTTTATTAATTATTTAGCTTTGTGATATAACAATATTTTCTAAAATAATATTCGTATATTGTAACAGCGAAGAATACAAAAAATTAATATACTCGAACTTCTATCACGAACTTCTTTTTGGTTTGTCTTTGTTTTGTGTTTTCTTTCTGCT